TATATTAATAAGCAAGTTTGTTTTTCTTATTTCAGGTAGTTTACACCAATTAAAGGATTTCAAAGGATTTGACGACTGAGGAATATTTTTAGACATCACTCTTGACAAATTTAAAGGTTTGTCATTTAATGAACCTAAAAAATTATTCATACAGAAAATAATCACAATAATAAACCAAAGAAGACACAAAATAACATAATATTCAATAAAATTTCTACAAATAAAAACAGTTGAAAAATTACCATACTAAAATATTTGTTCAGAATTCGCTTGACCCTATAAGCATTGAGCTCCTGGGTAATATTGTGCAAAAATTTCCTAGCTATACACTAACATTGAATAACAAGGGGCAGGGATTGATTTTTTGATGCAGTAAAGTTTGCAGCTAAGAAATAATAAAAGCACATAAAACTGCATGAAGCTAAGAAGGAGACTTAGATTTCATTGAAATCATCTCTTTTTACATGAATGTTTTTCCAACCAATAAACAATTTTTAAGTCTAAAGACTGTCATTTATGTGCAGAATTGCCAGAGACTACAGTTTTAAAATTTATGTCATTTGTTAAATTTATAATAGGTTTTTCTTTATTTGTATGAATGGCAAACTAAGTTAATAAATGAATAATTTTTCCCTTAAAACTGTTTCTTTTTTTTTATTACCTAACATTTTCAGAAAATTCAATATTTATCAACAATTTTATATGCCTCGATATATTTGTGGCTTTATATCATAGTCAACAACTTGGGGTTAAGAGATTGTTACCGATGTGCATCATCACCAAGAGAAATTTTGGCTTGGGATATTATTTAAGTGTAGGATTGACAGAGAGCATAATTTTAAAAATTGTCTGCTTTATAATGGAAGTTTCTGAAAATTGAAAAAGTTTTAGTTAATATATGCAAAGGTTTCACCTCAAAACTGTACTGTCTTTTTTCTTACATGTCATTCTAACAAAATTCAATATTTTCAAACAATCCTATTTTCCCTAATGTACTTATGGTTGTATATAAAACCATTTCAAAGAATAAATACTTTTAAAATTTTCATATAACTACTAAAAAGTGTGAAAGAATTTTGTGTCTTGACTGGATAACAGTGATAACAGAATATTATATTGAAATTGAATGCATTAACACATATTGTATTTATGTGAAATAAAACTGTTTTACCGATACAAAATGGAGGTGGTGGTGGAGGACATGGTACTATTCCAGGTGCTGGGGTTATTCCAGCTTTAGCATCATCAGATAAACATCCAGCTTTTGCCAAATTTTCACCTTGAGTCCTTTGTTGTTTTTCCATCTCAAGCTACATTAAAAAAAATCATGAATTAAATAAAGGGGTCCAATAGTAAGGCAAAGACCATGTATATGTTTCATATTATATACATGATCTTTGCCTTACTTACCTTAATTTATCTCAAGTAATCATAATTTTCAGAATTCACACACATTCTGGCTAATCAAGCTTTTACTATGTATTTATTGTATTCACAAAAGACATTTTCATTTGGGAACAAATTATAAATTGTAAGCAGAAAAAATTTAATGAAATTAATTTAAATCCATGTGGGAGCAAATTAAGAATGTGCTACAACCCATAAAATTTCAAATTTAGAACAGAATTACTAAAGAGGTCAAACACCCTTTTGGGATTTATTGTAGATGCCCTAGTTAATCACTAAAATACTTATTATATTTTAATTAGTGGTATTATATTATATAT